AAAAAAAAAAAAAAAAAAAAAAAAAAAAAAAGCCATTTCCAACGTTCTATTTTAAATGTTGTTTTCTATTTTTGATGACCTAATTTTAATTCCAAGTTTAAATAGATCTCCCTGCACTAGTCTTCTGGGAGAACATGATGAGACAATTTTGAGAACTTAGAGAATCAAACAAACAGGTCGTTTAATAGGTGGGGGCATCAAGTGGGAGAAAGCTTGTGTAGACTTGAAGCACTACTGTGGCCAAAACAGCAGCGTAGTAAAGGTGGTGAATTTGGCCCAATCGCAACTTCAAAGTTAGATGAAAAAGCCGAAGTTGCTGAATCACATCTGTCACTGAGGAGAAGTTGAATAGAAAGTGAATGCCGGCATTACTTTTAATTTTGTAAATCTCTACAAGGAGGTGCAGTCTCATGAGCAAACACTGATGTCCCTGACAAAAGTGTCCAGAGTCACATCACATGAGAAAATCACTGAAACACCAACATCTAAATATGGAATGAACATAAATATATATTCATAAAATATAAACATAAATATATATTCATTCTTTATATTCATAAAGACTGGAAATACAAATTACCCAGCTTCCAACCCAAGTAATGCAAATGTAACTTATATTGCCATAATGCAACTTTATCTTTAAAATCTTTTCATGTTTACTTTTCGGGCAAATTCTGCCCCTGTACCTGCATTTAAAAATTTGGGCAATTTCCACAATCTTACTTCCCATTCTTAGGTAATTCAAACAGTCCCAAGTTATTAATGAGAATGCCCACCCCAAGTAATAATCAAAACCCTAAGCTTGGTTTAAAGTTGGGGTCTTCTCCTCTACCCCAGCTTGTGAGTGAAGGAGGTGTGGGGGCTTCTTTCTTCACCTGGTCCTTCTGTGCCCCCCACCAAGGACCACTCACCCAGGCTCCTCACCCTTTGGTGGCTGGAGTATAGCAAGGAAGGGGAGGAAAACAGAGCACTGACATTCTTTTTTTCCACATTGGAATAGATCTTTATTATATTTTATGCATAATTTGAATTTTATTGCTGAGACAAGAGAAGCCTGGTAGGTAACTGAAATAGAGTTATATGCTGCACAGGAACTTTTTTCATTAAAAAAAAATTTAATTTTTATTTTTTAAATAGAGAAATGAACATATATGCGTATGGATGTGTATGGATGGATGGATCTTTGTGTTTTACAAATTGCTAGTTCCCTAGAAGTTTTATTGCTGAGTCGGGGAGTATGCAACTTTCAAGCCTTGGGATCCTTATAAGCAAACTCCAGAAAGTTTAGACTTGAGCGCGTCTCATACCCTCTCCAACTCTGGAGCGTCTATTCTCAGCAAAGCAGTCAGAGCTGTTCTGTTAAAACATATCCCAGATCATCGCTGTGCTCAAAACCCTACATTTTGTCAACTATTCCCCACGTCTTCTCTCTCCAGAAAAAGCCAAGGTCCTTGCTTCTCCTTAAGTGACCTTCGGGCCTGCTCTGTATTTTTCTCCCCGTCTGCCTGAGCCCCACCAGGTGCCTCCTGACCTTTGCTCCGTGCCCCCTCTCTGGAGAGCCCTGGTCCTTTCTCCAGGGTTACACTGTTCTCTCCCGGGCATCTCTGCCCTCTCTTGCTGGCCCCTTTCCCATTTTTTTCTCCAAACAACTTTCCACCTCCTAACATACAATTTCTGTCTTCATTTATGTAGTTAATTTCTTAGTTTTCCTCCCCTTGAACCTTCTCCCCAACACACACTGGAAAGTCAGTTCCAGGGGGACAGAGGGTTTTGCCTGTTTTGTTCATTGATGGGGACCCATGCCTAGGACAACACCAGGCACACAGTAGATGTCAAAACCTGTTGATTGAAAACCAGTGTGTACTGACCAGTTGAGTTTTTGTTGCTGTTTTGGTAAATTAGCTATTTATGACTTTGCTAATTTTTCTGTTGGGAGATTTGACTTCT